ACCGTATAATTATATCAGATTCCGGTATCTTGATGGGTACTTTATTAAATTTAGTATACTGACGATGATTAATAGAGGATATTGAACAATACTGAATTTATTGAACGAGCTAAATAAAATTATAGTATGCGAGGCTCTAATACTGAATCTATTAAACAAGTTGAATAAAATTTTAATATTATGCGAGCCTTTGGCGAGCAATATATTATTGTATTCAACGAGTTTAATAACTTCAGTAATGAACTTGTGAACACGAATTAAATATTCTATTATCACATATCAAAAATAAGGACCGTTTAAAGTGAAAAAGTTTTTTTTTTTTTGTTGTTGTTGTTGTTGTTGTTGTTCATTGAAGATTCTAGATAAGATTTAGCGCGTCTTTACTCTATTTTTGTATAACGCAAATGACGTCACGTCAAAATATATGCACGGCCGTGCAATACCATTTTTACAGAGTTTTTTGAGAACTGTTTCTATCTAATCGACATATCGCGAAAAAAAGATAAGTAACATTGTATCAAATTTTAAATTTCTGTTAAAAAAAGGAAGGGTTATCTATCATATGAATGACAGTGCGAACAAAATTTTGCATGTTCGCTATTTAGTCAGTATATGTTTAGAAATTGTTCCTTAATATGATGAAAGGTTAAGTACAGATTGAAAGATGGCAGATTTCGTTCATTATACTTATTCCAATCGAAACAATGTCGACTGTCCTCGAAAATAAGCAAGCAATTTCTTACTAACCGCGCCTTATACCGTTAATTTTGTATGCATCATGCAACAGTTTAATAACATTATCATGTACAAGAGTCGCGTAACGGTATTCCGAGACTATCGGGTTCGAGTCTCGGTCAGGCTACACATTCTTCTCACCCTGTGACATCTATTAGTATCAATATAATTCAAGTGGTTAACAGATGAATTTGATACTGATTATTATGTAAAGAAGGTAAGAATTAAATAAAGACACACACGCACACACAAATAAAAAGATACAAGAAAACAACAAAAATGTTATTGGCTGGTTCTGAGCCATATCCCTGCTTAAACGCCGAAACAGTTTAGCTTTTGTGACCAGTATAGAAGAAGCAAGCGGTCTGACCTGTTTTATACTGTTGGCTTCTGAACAAATGATTATGGAATTTTCCTGAAATGAAAGCAAGAAATTGTTAAGCTAAACGAACATGAGGAAATTACTTATATCACAAATTTCATTTTTATTAAACATATACATTACATCTTTTAATGGACATTATTCATATTTTCTCTGACGGCTCGTTGCCATTACAATCATAGTTTGATTTTCTCGCGTAAAAATTTACATCTTACTAAAATCTTTGATTTTGTATACGAATGCCCATATACATGGTCCTCAAGGACTAATTAACATCATTTCTATTACTTCTCTAAAAACAAGAAAATCTTGACATCAAGTAGCATTATGACCGTTTGAAATTCAAATACCCAGAAGCATTGTTTTGTCAACAGGTCATTGACGCCTTTTAAAAAATATATATACACTCATTTTCTTAATGTAAGACAAAGGAAAAGCATTTAAATGACTGTACAATCATAGTAGACTCTGAAAAATGACTTGCTGGCGCTTTTGGCTACCAGAATTTTCATACTATAGTATAGTTCATAATATTGTTCTAGTAGGTATGCACGAATATAATTATTGAAAAAAATACTGCTTCTTACATTGTTGTGTTCATAATAATATACATTCATATAACCATACGCCATATGACCCCTTCTGTGTTTGTACGACGTAAATCCACTCAACCAAGCATCTTCGCCAAGAATAAATGAATAAATAAATAAATGAATAAATAAATGAATAAGTAAGTAAGTAAATAAATATATAGAGAATGAATGAATGACTGACTGAATGAATGAATGAATGAATGAATGAATGAATGAATGAATGAATGAATGAATGAATGAAATAATAAATAAATAAATAAATAAATAAATGAATGAATGAATGAATGAATGAATGAATGAATGAATGAATAAATGAATGAATGAATGAATGAATGAATGAATGAATGAAAATATAAATAAACAATGACAACGCTAAATGTCTAATTCACATCCAGACCCCGCCCCGTATAAATATTAATTAATTAATTAATTAATTGATGAGTGGCATGGGTATGTTGTCACAACCGTCGTGGCCTTTACAATTGATAAATTACATAAAAATGTGAAGGTGAATGTTTTGTTTCGAAACACATTATCTGTCCCCAAGGACTGACTGTTTACGACATTTTCATAATAACTTTGTCAACAAAAAAAGTTTTGTGACAATGTCATTTGGAAATTTATATCCCGAAGCATTGTTTTGCTATTACAATTTCAACAGGTCGTTAACGTTACTATAATTCATCATCGTTTACAAACGATGAACGGATTAGCATCAGAATGACAGTAACATTAATTTAAAAGTAGAATAAATGTAAGAGATGAAGGAAAAATCATGTTTATGCTTGAAGCTACACTCACTGTTCGATAGATGTATAAGTATTTTTTTAATAATTTTTTTTATGAACATTTAAATAAATGAAATCTGATTTTTACAATAAACGCGAGAAATGGCTCTTTGAATTCGATACAGTTTGTCATTTACTCTTATCATTTTTGCTTTTATTTAATATATCTGGAAATCTTTCTATATAATCGCAGTCGCCCAAATGAATTATACGAGAAGGAGAAGGTATTGTTATAAAAGAAATGCCGGAAATTAATCACAATTGAATTGTACTGGCAAAACAACCATCTTTATTGGATTTGAGTAATCCACCAACACGAGAATAGCAGCACATCTTTCAGCCATATTCATGTTCCTAAGACACCATTGACCTATATCTTCAAATGGCAAAGATGAAAGATTGCTTTAAGTGTTTAAGTGTTTTATCAAACACAGTTCCGACAAAAATATAAATACATAATGAGAAATGAGAATTGCTACTAAAACATTAGAAATACAAATATATTTATATTTGAAACAATGCTGTGTTAATACGTACGGCTAGTGTGGATTGTTCCCCAAACCTCAAGAAATGTTTTTGGATTTGTTTTACAACGCGTATCTTAAAACATCATTTCAATATTTTATTCACCCAACTTTTTAGTTTTTATTGAGATAAGCATCACTCGTATTAACAAAGTGTGTCTTCATTTGTTATATGAACACACAAGTTAGTTCAGTTTGTGCAAAAGTGCCTTATAAGATGTTATATTCTATTTTGACCATGCTTGTCACGTGATAAAAACTCGTATGAAACATAAAGAAAAATTATTTTGAAAATGGTGTCAGTTGTCTTATCATTGTTAATTATTATTCCATGTGTATATTCAAACTATAATAATACTACCATCTACTGGAAAAAAAACACTTTTGCAGATCGGGCCTAGCTATTTATGTCATAATTTTAGCTAAACCTCAAGACAAAATGGTATTTTTACCCCAGTATAATATACTAAATCACTATTATAACTAAAATAATTGCCAAAACGCAAATGATGACAAAACTTTGTTGAATTATAAGACAATTACTATCAATACTTTGTTGAATTATACGAAAGCAAAACAAACTATAAAATGCTAATTTTGAAATGTTAGCGATGATTTCGCGCATGCCTAACTAACATGAATTTCCATATTAATCCATTCATTTGTTATGGTTTTAATAATGATACAAATGTACGCATAGTCCGATAATGCCAATGCAGAGTGAATGCGTCTCTTCTATCAGTATATAGAGGATATTGAATAAGTGTAGGTTCAATATGGAATTTATTGAACTCATTGAATAAAAATATATTATGCAAGCCCCTGGAGAGTTCAATATATTAATTAAGTAATGAACCTACATGAATATGAAATTCTTTTTATCACATACGCAAAATAAGAGCTGTTTTCAGTCACTGTAGAACAATCATTTTTTTCAGTGACGCATTAGCGAACTTTAACGCTACGTTTGTAAAACGCAAGTGGCATCACGTCAAAATCTATGCACGACCGTGCCATACAATTTTTACGGAGCTGAAAAAGAGGCACATTGTACTTTAAGTGTTGTCCAATCGTGTTTCTTCTTGATATTGCTTATCTCTAGCAATTCGTCTACTTTCTGGAAACTGTTGCCTTAATGTTCTTGACTTGTCCCGGAAGTGGGTGTTATTGTACAAAAATCAGACCGGAAATTAATCGCTATTACGCAATGCTGGCTAACAAGCGTACTTATAAGAAAATCTGGCATCGAAAGAATAGCTTTCGATAAGTTTTATCTACATCAAATGATTTATTACACTATTCCTTTTTTGTAGATACAGAGCAAGTAACTTCAAGTCGTAGATAAACCGGTAATTGATCTTTCAGATGTATTTTTTCATCGCTTTACTAACAGATGAATCTAAATGCATTGATTGTTTTACACATGACTCGGTAACAAAAGTAATACCTTTCAAATTTAAATATGTTATGCTTCTATCTCCTTCGCAATAGATTCAAATAATATAGACACATTTATGTGTAAACTCTTAAAGGCCCATTAAGCCCCAGAAATGCTATCATATTCATTTTGCAAAACTGTTTTTTTTTTTGTTTTTTTTTTTGTATCGTTATACATATTTTTTTGTATCGTTATACAATTTCCAATAATATACTCATTGGCCCAATAGATGGACAATCTTTCGCTTTTACTTTTACTCTTATTATAGTGTTTAAGTATTTCGTATGGTCAAAGTCAAAATACTACTTTGTTTACATTTTGCTACCTTTACAACACATAACAGCACTCTCAACGCTACTTTCTTCAGCTATTGTACATCTAAGATGCTTTCAATCCTTTATCAAAATATTATAAAACACGTAACTGACTTTCCTACGGGTTTAAACAAAATTATAGAATTTTGAGGCTAAATGTGTCTTTAATACGGTGCGTTTTAAGACAAGCGGGGGAAAAAGCAACAACTTTTAAAAACATCCACACATCATTTTATTTACCTACAAATCCAAACACTTTATAAATAAAATATGATAAGCTATTTACAAATATATTATGAACATTATAGTCTTTCACGTCGGAAAACCAGGCAGCGAATATGGGCGATATGCTGGAAGTAATGGTGTTAAAACAGGTGCATTATGGGTAACTGAAGCTGGGTCCGGTTGGAGCATGCGCAGAATATTACACGCTGCAAAGCTCTCCGATTTGGAGTCTCGTACTTCTGCGTCTCGGACTCGATCTCGTTTGTATTTCGTTCGTCTGTTTTGAAACCATACTTTTACCTAAGAATAAAAATTAATGTTTGTTATATATCTTGTCAAATTGGTTGCATAATTATATAACATCGCTAAATATCATTAAAGTCCCTGTATAAGTGACGTATAAAGTAGCAGTTAAAATTATAAGAAATAGTACAAGTCAAACAAAACTTAAAAAATAAATAAATAAATAATTTAACTGGAAACAATGAAAGATAAATAAACTTTTACGATAAGGAAAAGTATTTTCTACAACTAACTAAGGCGCGTTAGAGTTTTTTTGACCAAGGGAGGCAATTGATGCATTCTATATCAAATATGCTTTTAAGAGTTACGTTTCATTATCGCTATTTCTTAAGTGACTACAAAAATAACAAAAACGTTTTAGTTTGTTCCATTTAAGAACCTTGAAAGATGCCCTACCTGAGTTTCGGATAACCTGAGCCGTTTTGCAAGTTCTGATCTCTCCTTGCCAACAAGATACTGGTTCCGCTGGAATTCTCTCTCCAGTTCAAAAAGTTGATCCGGTGAGAATGTCGTTCGAGCCCGCTTTGGGCGGTCCAGGTCTAATGCTTTAGGAAACACTAATTCCTTTACGGTGCCATTTGCTTCTGAAAATATACAGTTTAAAAATATTTTTAGTTATTATATATTAATATCTCTACGAAGAGGTTTTATGAATGGTTTCTACAGACGTTAAAGTAGCTCAAATTCAGAATGGTGTACATTTTTCTGAATAATTACAAAGCGTAATAGATAGTAAAAATAGTCGAGTGCAGAAAGATTGTAATCAAAGATTGCGTACAGTATATACATTTGTACTTGTTATCAATATAAGTCGATTGGCATAACATGCATAACATGTAAAGCAAAGTATAGCATATCCTATTACAGCACAGCGCAACATAGAGTAGATAACTGACATTTAATACATCAAAACATTTTTTCACATACATTATATGAAACTGTGAAACAAAATGGAAAGGTATGTCTTTAAAAAAAAATGTGTATGTATATATATCAAATTATAGATTTCATCAAAACTGCATTGTTTTCTTTCTATTAATAAAATTATTAATAAATAACCTTAATATTCAATTGGATTCAAAATCCTCGGTTTATATCATAGTTTATCAGTTGATAAAAATAACTTAATTTTGCAGATCGTTCATTCATGCATTTATCTATAAGAAATAAATCATAATTTGAATTGATTAACTTATATCCTGGTTACTTCACTGCAGCATTTCAATAGTCACTTCGTCTTATTATGACATCTTAATTAATTAATAGATTAATTAATTCATTCATTCATTCATTCATTCATTCATTCATTCATTCATTCATTCATTCATTCATTCATTCATTCATTCATTCATTCATCCATTCATTCATACATACATTACTCATTCGTTCGTTAATTCATTGATTCATTCATTCATTCATTCGTTCGTTCGTTTGTTTATGTGTGCGTTCGTTCGTTCAGTGATTCCTTTATTTATTTTTTCATTCAGTCATTCATTTTCATATAAATTTTCATTTTTAACCTTAATTTAGAATTAAAAATTTGAAATTTTCTGAACTCTGAAATATTTATCTTTGTGGTTTATATTAAGCAAGAATAATTACACTAAAAAGTATTGTCTCGAATATGATTAAATCTTAAGATATTAAAGACATTATCGAGTGTCCTTTAGCCTTCAGATATAACAGAAGCTTTCATTAAATTCTATTTAGATCGCAAGTGCGATATTTTAGAGTTATTCTTAAAGCGACCTCTTATGACAAAGATTGCAATTTACCGCATGCTGTGCAATATAAATGATGGTTTCTGACCACACCGATTTAAAGGTGTTACTATATTACGGGCGGTGATGGCTTATAGCTCATTATATAACACTAATACCCGTCCACAATACGCGTCAAAACCGTACCCGCATCCCAACTTAAATTCCGTTTAAATGGAGAAAATTAGTAATACAAGAATTTGATCATCTCGAAAAGTTGACTGAAAGACTTTTTGTGTCCGACACCACGGGATGTCATAACGGAACACATGTTCAAGAAAGCGTTGGAGATACAAACACAATTTAACTGCTTGTTAGAAAATTGCAATAATTTGTTATATATAAATGTCTAGATAAATTGAATGCAATAAAAATGTTCGCTTGTTATATTTCCGGATTTTAACACCGAATTGTAACTCATTACTTACATATGAAATTATATTATACCCAAATTGTAGATAAAAATGAATGACTGTGAATGTAATGACTGTTTTTTTTATTATTTATTTATTGATATCTTATATTTTCATTCATTCATTCATTCATTCATTCATTCATTCATTCATTCATTCATTCATTCATTCATTCATTCATTCATGCATTCATTCATTCATTCATTCATTCATTCATTTATTTATTTACATATTTATTTATTTATTTACTTACTTACTTACTTATTTTCATAGTCCAGAGACAAGGTGTTCATTACAACAGGGGCTTTCAAATAGAAGTTACAATCACACATAACTACATGTACTTGGTTCATTTTTTTCTTCTGTTTCTTTTAGATAACATTTTGTGCTGTTTGTTTGTTTATTTGTTATTTCATTTGTTTTCAATTCCTTATTGATTTCTTATAAAAACCTTTAATTCAATTGTAAGATGGAGGTGTTAATTTACTCTGTTGTCTATTTATTTATTTATTATTTATTTATTTATTTATTTATTTATTTATTTATATATATTTTTTATTTATTTATTGTTAAATATTAAGCCCTTTATTTTTTAACTAGAATTTTCAAATAAGCCTGTAGATAATTTAAAACACTATTCCTGGTTGTTCTAACCCACCTTGTAAAACCTGGGGCAAAAAAACAACAACTGAATAATACCCTTAAATCCCCCTCGCTCACATGCAAGTCATTTTAACAGTGAAAGCATGTCATGAATCGCTCTCTTGTCTTTGCATTTTCATCTTTTACGTTAAATTCACATACATATTTTACAAACAAATATCAAAGGCTTTTACACTTTCCTCCGGGAGTTTAGTTCAGTTTACGAGACAATCGTGTCGTTTCTGTTTACACTTTTTAATTTCTCTCTCCGCAGGACCTCGATATCTGATCAAATCTAAAAATCTAATCTTTCAAATAAAATCCGTTTGTACCCGTACGATCATTAGTAAAGTTATCGAATTCTGCGACAGAATGGCCCAAACAGACAACTTCATTAAATTTGAAACCGGCATTTAGTACCAATTAATCGGCGCACTCTAGAGGCCGTGTTAAAACATCATTTGCCCCGTCATGATTGACATGTATTCATTCTTTAATAAAGTGAAAACTGATTCATCCGAGATGTTATCAATATTATAACATATCCACCCCGGAGGAGTATATGAATGAACAAGGATTTGTCTCATAATAGATTTCCCGTGCATATTAAGTTACAAATTTAATTTTCGTGTAGATTTATAGAAAACGTATGTTTTTTTATGATGATTTGTATATAGCATTGCCCCTATGGGTGGACGGGGATTCGTCGCTTGTCATTTTAGGTCTTAATTAAATTTACTAAATTGATTTCATACCAGTGAAACAGCGACTTTTAAGTAGAAACACACCGTATTTTGCCGTAACTGTATGTGTAAAGTTTTGTAAAGTTTTGATATCCTTTTTTTTTCAATCAGAATCTAAGTGCAAATGTCAGTCAGTGTTTTTCATAGTCTGCGTGAAATAAACTATCGAGTTTGTTTATGAATTTAATTCAGGCTGTTTGAACGGTCTGTGTGACTGAGTGGATTTCAGTTTGGGAACGTGTTTTAAACTTGTTTTAAAATGTCAACATGGGATGTTGCACTTTTTTCATTACCGTTCATGTACAGAATGAATCAAACCCGAATCAATCCATTTTTTTCTGTAATGTTGTTGTGATTAATGCTTCCGAGGGACCACATTTTATTCAGATTTTAATATAACTTATTACTGTCAAGGCCATTCAGTTTAAAACGAAGATTACTCACATATTTTCCGGGATGGGGTTATTTTGTCCTTTTTTAATATCAACATGTTATTTGTAATCAAGGATTATACATCTATTATTCGCCATTTATAACATGCTTGTAATGCCATCATGGGCATATTGCCTAATGGAATAAAAGAATAAACTACTACTACATCTATCACACGTTCACGCATTTTATTTTGAACCTCTGCACCAACATAAGTATTTGATGCTTTGTCAAAAGAGAAAATGTTGACGGAAACTTTGATGAACTTGTTTTTCAACCACCAGAAAACGATCAGATATTATGACAATGTACATGGAGATTATATTTCCCTTTTTATTATTAAATAAAGACTGAGCAGACCAAAAGCATATTTTAAAGTGCAGAAAAAGTAAAGAGTTGAAATATCTTCAAGGGCCTTCCGGCTGGATGACAAACGATTTACATTTCCTCCTATTCGACATGAAAACTTGTTTATTTAAGTTAATTTGTATGGTGTAAAATTACAGACGCCCGCCATCGTGACGTTATTGATATCATCCATCGACTCGTGTATCATTGCCACATGGGTTAATACGTGTATTTATTAACTATTTTCTATAATGCTCGTTTGTAACGTCAATTTTCATTGGGCGATCGTAACATTTTATAATATCAATATTCGAATATATCATTTCATTTAATTCTTAAATGTGGGCTACTTGGGTTAATTCCGTATTGATTGGCTTTTATAGTTCGCGTTTGTAACGTCAATTTTACCATATTTATATACGCTTATGAAATTTGATTTAATGTTGAGCTTAAATTATTGAAAGATAACAATTACGCAGTATTTTAAATTAATAATAAGCAGGTGTTTTTGTTTTTATTTTTTTTATTGTTGTGTGTTGTTGTTGTTTGTGTGTTGTTTTTTTTTGTTTTTTATGTTTTTGTTTTTTTTTTTTGTTTTTTTTTTTTTTTTTGGGGGGGGGGGGGGTTGATGGGGGTAGTACAACAGGGCAAGCAATGCTATTCATAGAAAACTTTGGGTTATATATATGAATAAAAATGAAATCAGAATATAAATCAATCATCTCCTAGGATAACACACATATAAATTAGCTAGTATTATTTGAACATATTTCCATTGCCATCATTTGGTTTTTTAGCCTAGTGGATATGTTACATGTATATTATTAGTTATAAAGATTGTTGACAGGTTATATGGCCCTATATAAACGGTTGTTTGTAAATATAACCCAAGCCGCTATAATCTTTATAACAAATTTATAATACAGCACGCATTATTTTTTAGAGAAAAAAGTAAGATTTCTTCATGAATCGACAGCAGCCGTGTACATAAAATTATATAAACGTCATGATTGTCCAATGAAAAGCGACGTGACATGTACAAACGTGCAGTATTATAAAAGCCCACTATCGCTCATATAACATGGAAATATTTATACCTGAAATTTTACAATGACTGGTTGATAAAATCATTAATGTTATTTTTATTTATTAGATTTGTTGGTTTGTGTTTTTTGAAAAGACAAATTTAAAAAATTAATTGCTCACTATTAACTGACTTTCTAAATCAACTTCCCCTCACAGGGAA